TGTGTGTGTGTGTGTGTGTGTTACATTTTGTCTTTTCAAAAAAAATTTATAACATTTATTTATTATTGAGAGACAGAGAGAGACAGAGCATTAGCAGGGGAGGGGCAGAGAGAGACACACACACAGAATCTAAAGCAGGCTCCAGGCTCTGAGCTGTTGGCACAGAGCCCGATGTGGGGACTCAAACTCATGAATCTCGATATCATGACCTGAGCCAAAGTCAGATGTTTAAGTGACTGAGCCACGCAGGTGCCCCTACACTTTGTCTTTTTAAAATATATAACTCTAATTAGATTCTTGGGTATCTATATTATAAAAAATCGTGAGGTTAAGTATGATTGCTTTATTTAGTAGTTCCTAAATAAAGGAAATTTATTGCTTCTTCCACAACAAATAATGCCTCTACTCCTCATTCAAATACCTCCACTTCTTAGAATAAAAGCTACAGATTATTTTACTGCATACATTCATGCATGAACAATAAAATGGGCTATTCACATTCAACTTTTGAATGAAATTAGTCACAGAAGATTTATTTTCTCAGAAAACTTTTAAGAATTGAGCTTATTATAATATCTAACACAACCAATTGAAAAGCATTGTATACATTTCCCATTACTGTATAAGCACTTACCACTAACTGAGCAGCTTAAAACAATGCCCCATTTTTTTAAGGTTTCATAAGTTTCCTAAAGGTCAGATGTGGCATGGTTGGGTCCTCTGTTCAAGGTCATTAAAGGTTGTTTTCATCAGGGTTTCTGCTGGGCTACTTTCTTTTGTTGATGTTCTAGAGAATAATCTGTTTCAAGTTCATTCAGGATGTGAGCTGAATTCAATGCCTTCGGGCAAGGGGGGTTTGATCATGGCCCTAAATAAAGGGCATCATCTGTGTAAGTAATGTTCCTGACTCAGATCTGGATGGTTCTGAGAAGGTACAAAACTAAACTCTCTTGTGGGAAGGGGGCAGGATCTAACACCTTGGAAAGGACTGGGTTGGAAAGAGTGAGCAAAGTCAAGACAGGAAAGAGATAAGGCGCATGAAGGATCCGTAGCTGCCATAAGAAGCACCAATAATTCCTGTGTAGATGAATCTTTTTTTTTTTTTAATTTTTTTTAATGTTTTTATTTATTTCTAGGAGAGAGAGAGAGACAGTGTGAGCAGGGGAGGGTCAGAGAGAGAGGGAGTCACAGACTGAAACAGGCTCCAGGCTCTGAGCTGGTAGTCAGCACAGAGCCCGACGCGGGGCTCAAACCCACGAACCGCGAGATCATGACCTAAGCGAAAGTCGGACGCTTAACCGACTAAGCCACCCAGGGGCCCCCTGTGTAGATGAATCTTAACACTTCACCACTAATTGATCTGAATTCAGGAAGCTTCAATACTAATGTGGATGTTTATAAAAGTCTGTGAGGAGGGGTGCGGGGGTGGCTCAGTCGGTTAAATGTCCAACTTCAGCTCAGGTCATGATCTCATGGTTCATGGGTTCGAGACCCATGTCGGGCTCTGTGCTGACAGTCTAGACCCCGGAGCCTGCTTCGGATTCTGTGCCTCTCTCTCTCTCTCTCTCTCTGCCCCTCCAACACTTACACTCTGTTTCTGTCTCTGTCTCTCTTTCACTAAATTAAATAAACACTAAAAAATGTCTGTGAAGATGATAAGAGATCACAGTACTTATGGTCTGGTTACTGGATGCAGTAGGTGATATGCTTCAGCGACAGACAGCTTCAGCTTGTCCTTCTCCGAGTTCTCAGTGTTCATACTCATGATCTGATTATCATAAAGTTGACCTATAAAAGCACATAGCAACAAAAACTTTCTGAAAAGTTTCAACTGTCAATGTGACTACCTGGAAAAGGATCTTAGGAAACAGATGGTGAGTTTCCTATCACTGATAGAGGCAGAGGAAAACCAAACTACATTCACAAGTTGCTTTTAGCACTCTCATTAAAAGTCTAAAAAATATTTGATTTTGTTTCATTTCCTCTAGGAAACTCTCTTGCCCCCTACCTAGCAGCGCTAAGAAGTAGGAAACAACATCTAAATTATCAAAGACCTCTTTACCTATTCTTTAAAAAAAAATCTTTGTATTCTATTTTCAAATGTTTTTTAAATATTCCTTTTGATGTGCTAACTAGGTTAGTCTATCACACGTAATAAAGACCTGAATTTCCAATGGTGATTTCCAACGCTGAGCAAACAACTAGGTTAGGACAAGAAAAGAACAGTGGAAGCTATGTGTTTGACTTTCCTCCAGTGAATTGTCAGTAAATTGCTTGTGTTATTCAAGTGCAGATTCATACACTAGAGATTTCCAATATACAAAATAATTAAGCTTAATGAAAACTGACATTATGTAGCTATCTGGCAAGGAGAAATAATTAGGTAGCGTCATCTGCACTTAACACTACCATTTAAAATATATTTTACACAGAACTACTGACTGTGTATCATGGCTGAGAGCTAAGGGTTAAGATTAAGAATCAAAAGTTGTCATGAAATAATTTTTCTGTCAACTTTGGTAGTTCACTGATGTGTTCTACTCAAGATACCTTGGACCTAAGGAAAAGAAATCAATTCAATCGAATCAAATGAGGGAGGAGGAGAGTTTTCAAGAATTTAAAAGGTAGTCTCAGAGATGCAACACCTGAAATGCAGTCAGTCTTAATGACAAATAAACTGGCCTGTGTGACTTTCAGGAACAATATGGTCTCTCTGTGGACTACCTCTGTCACTACTGATTTCTCAACTGGTAATAAATCCACACAGCAACCAACCCCTACTGCTTACCATTAGATGTCCCTGACTTTGGATCACTTTTAAAAAAGAATTTTTTATTGTTTATTTATTTTTGAGAGAGACAGAGACAGAGTGTGAGTGGGGAAGAGCCAGAGAGAGGAGGAGACAGAATCTGAAGCAGGCTCCAGGCCCCCAGCTGTCAGCACAGAGCCCTACCTGGGGCTCAAACTCACGAACCATGAGATCATGACCTGAGCCGAAGTTGGACACTTAATCGACTGAGCCACCCAGGCGCCCCTGGATCACTTATTTTACATTTTCAAGAGTATGAGCAATTTCTTACAGGTTGGTCACTGGATGAATCACCGTTAGATCAGATATGTATTTCTGATCCAATCAGAGGTTGGGCATTGAGGCAGAGGATACAACAATGGTCCCCTAGATCTATTTTTACCAGAAGCTAGGTGTGGATTTAAAAAAATAAAACATGTACAGTATGCAAAAATGGTATACAGAAAGACTGGAAATATGAATAGAAAAGGTAATCTGACCAATAGTGAAATTATGGGTTTCAACACAAACTAGGTGTCAAGTCAGCGGTCGGTATAGACCTAAAATCCTGACAGTCTTTGCTTCTGAGGAAGTAGGGGGTAAAAAAAACACCTTTAACAAAAAGTTCTTCAAATACCTACAACCGCAGGTACTGTATCGAATACACATTTATAAACATTATTTTTCTCCCTGATTTAGTCTCCCCATCTTCAACCAGTCAACCTCTGTAAAGAATTTCAAGTAGACACAACGCACTTTTCTTTTTTCTCATCCATTCTGCTTTGGTTAATCTTGCTGTTCAACAAGTCTGTGATGAGTTTAAGGGGTCCCCATTACCTACTCACAGCCACTGGTAACCTAGGTACTTGGCTGCAGGGGTGGATACACTTTCACATGCTCAAAATAAAGCTTTGCGACGGAAAATGATATTCCTTCCAAGGAAGCTGGTCTAACAAGAGCGCAATGATTTCCTTGCAAAAATATCACTGTTTAACCGAAAAAAGAACAATGGTAAAAGATTGATGGCAAATGACTCTAGTGGGAAACACTCCAACTACAATGATAAAATATTTTAGAGCAATGGAGATGGGACTTTTTAATTCTTTTACCACAGCAGGTGGCTAAGAGACCAACAAACTCATGTTCCTGCTTTCTGAGCCGAGTGGCTGTAGACCCCTGGGCTAGGAATCGCCACCCTCCTTCCAACCACTAGAGGCCATGTGACTGGTTTTCACCAATGGATTATGGGTGCAGTGACACAACTGGCAGTGAGGTCATAAGGGATGACAGAGCTCTCAAGGGAGAAGCTGGGTCCTTCATCAGTGTAGGAGGGAAAGCGGAGGAGAAGCCCCTGGTTGCCATCCACTGCCTTCATCTGCTGCGTAAATGAGAAGCAAACTGATATTGCAAGTCAACTCCCAATAATGTTGGAGTTAACTTGCAACAGCAACTATGGTTTCCTGAGCTAAGACTCCTCCCTAAAAACGTAGAAGGTCAAAGACACAATGTAGTCCAAGACAGTAGGGAAGTACATTTCTTATTACTGAGAAATGAAAGCTGTCTTACAGAACCCTATGTTTCTCTCACACACACTCACTTTACACACACACACACACACACACACACACACACACACACTCTTAAACATGAAAACATGGTCCTAGGATGACTTGTTTTGAAACATTCCGGAACCTTAAACTAACCCCTAGTTGAATAACTCTTCTATCTATGAATTTGAAATTGTTTTACACATGAGAATTGCATGTGTGGTTGATACCCAAGGTGCGATTTCGCAGTGTAGCATCATATATTAGCAAACAACACAGGTTACATCAATCAAGATGTTCTCCCTTTCACCTCAGGAACCTGCAACTCTGTATCACCTAGAAAAAAAGAACCAGACTGAGAGACCGCGCTAGGCATCTCCGGATTTCCAGCAAGCTGACTACATGCAGACCCTTCCTTTATGTAAAATTATGCATCATTTGCATTTGGGGCAGGTGTTAATTTTGTTAAAAGGGTTTCAAGTACCAATCAGGCCATTTCAGACACCTTTTGAACATCTTAAAGCAGATTGGTGACAATTCCCTTCCAACATCTGACTGAATGTTCCATTTCCACCGCCAGGTTTGTAAAGAGAAGACAAACCCCGCAGTTTCCTCTCCCTGGCAGCTCACAGCGCAGAGCTGTCAGGAGGCAGCGTGCCCGGTACCTGATGCTGCTCATGCTGCCCGTCTCCGATCCAAGCTTGCATCGCTCCAGCTGGCTGGCTACGATTTGCCGCTCTGCCTCCAGCTCTCGCGTCAGTCTCTCAAACTGTAATTCCTGAAACAAAACCACCAAAGAGATGAATCCTATCATCTATTGGCAAAGGGGAATTCCTATCAAAGTGACATGATGGTCGACGGGAAAAATGCAATTTACCAAGATGTCAAATAGGAGAAGCAGAAGATGCTGTTGTGACACCAAACGAGGAGTGGCAGTGCGGACACACCTGACGTCACATCTCAGTCCTGGCACCTGGTGGCGGCAGGGCCTTGGGTAAGTTATTTAATCTTTCCATATGTCAGTTTCATAATCTGTAAAATGGGCTTACGACTTATTTCGTAAGTCGAAGTGAGGATTAAATGAGCCCCTGCCCATGAAAAATTAGACTGTGCTATTCTATGGCCAGTGGCCAGCACTCAGTGGATATTAACATTTCTGCCATTAAAATTGTAACATTCCATGAAATGTTGAAAGAAACAATTTTTCTATCATTTGGAGGACTGTTTATTCCCTGTTGGATTCTAGCTACCTCTCTACTAACTTGATTCTTATTATTGCTTACATATATTGAAGAGTGAAGAAAAATAACGCTTATAGTTCTGTAGGCTTTAAACTCCAGAAGAATGGCAATGATATTGATCTTATAGAACCTAATTACTACATGAACACCCTTTGAGATATTTGCTGTATCACCTTTGAAAAAACAATTAAACCAATGAAGAATGCTTCTACTACAAATCTGCCTGAAATCCACTGTTAAAGGATCAACTTTAATGAAAAAAATAAAAAAGATCCAATCAGTATGTCAAGCTGATTAGCTGTTCCAATTATAGTACTTTTTTTTTTTTACCACATTTTAATCTTTGTATTTTATTTTCCCATATACTTAAATTTTCTTAATAAATGTAATTACACCAAAGTATATATTTTCACTATAAAATTCAGGAAAAGTTTTTACAGTATCACATTTAATTTCTGTAAAATATAAATTATCTGCACCGTTAGGGTCTGGGTATGGGAAAACAAAAATGCTGGAAAATACAGAAAATATAGGTTGGTTCAGGAGAATTAAAACAGCCAACATTGCAGAGATGTGTCTTCCCATAAAAGTTGCATTGATTTTATTGGCTACCTTGGGATATTCTTCGGCGAAACCTGTAAAAAATAGGATCTGGTATGGCCTCCATACATATTAAAAATTCTCCTGGTCTATTCCACAGGAGAATTCTTTTTTGTTACCATTATTTGGGCAACCAAAGGACACTTTACAAATGAGAGCTCAACTTTTCCTTTAAGGTGCTAACACTAAGGAAGCATGTTGTTATGGGAACTCAAATCTTTATTCTCACATGTTCGGAAGGATGGCAAAAATTAGTTTGTAAGGACAAAAAAACCAAGATCTCTACCAAAATGCATTTCTGTGTACCTTAACCTCCTCTGCTTCTCCCAGCAAGTTCTACTTCTTTTTATTTACTTATTTATTAATTTAATTTTTTGGCAATTTCTTTCCACAGAAATACAGAGATTCTAGAAGATTTTCGTTTCCAGGCTTTATATTTTATCTTGCATCTGTCTATATAACACAAAACCAAGTTATACCTTTGGATTGATAACACCTGAGAAACAATATTTAAAGATCATGTAGCATTCTTCAGAAGTACATGGAAATTCATTATTTTTTTTAAGTTTATTTATTTATTTTGAGAGAGACAGAGAGCATGAGCAGGGGACAGGAAGAGAGGGAGGGAAAGAGAGAGAATCCCAGGCAGGCTCGTGCTGCCAATGCAGAGCCCGATGTGGGGATTGAACCCACAAAAACTTGAGATCATGACTTGAGCCAAAACCCAGCGTTGGACGCTTAACCGACTGAACCACCCAAAAGCCCCTACATGGAAATTCATTGCGTGAGCTGCCTGCCAAGCACAGAGTCACAATTTCTAATGATCCTCATTGTCTGTGTAGATCTGTATTTCCAACTGGCATTATTCTCCTTCTGTCTGAAAGAATTCCTTTAATGTTTCTTGGCATATGGTTCTTTTGGTGCATTCTCTCAGCTTTACGTGCCTAACAAGAGACACTATTTTGCCCTAGTTTTTGGAAGACATTCTGTCCTCGCATGTTGTTTCTGACAAAAAACTATGGCATTTGAGTATTTGTTTCACAGTGTATACAGTGTCTTTCTTCTCTGCCTCCTTTTAAGATTTTCTCTTTATCACTGGTGCCGAGCAACTTGATTATAATGCTCCTTAGCTGTAGTTTCCCTCGTGTTTCTTATGCTTGGGATTCACTGGGCTTCCTGGATCCGTGGATGTGTAGTTTCCATTAAATCTGGGAAAATTTTAGTCATTAATTCCTCAATTTTTTTTCTCTTCTCCCCACTAACACCTTTCCCTCAGTGACAATAATTAAGTATACATTAGATCATGTGGAATTGCCCCACAGCTCATGGGTTCTTTTTTTATTTTTAAAATTCTTTTCTTTCTCACTCGGTGTTTCATTTTGAGTCGTGTCCTCTGGTTGTCGAGTTAATCAATCTTTTCCTTTGCAATGTCTAATCCACCGTTAATCCCGCCAAGTGTATTTTTATCTCCGACATTGACGAATCAAACATCTCTAGAAGTTTCACTCGGGTCTCTTTTCTATCTTCCATACCTCTTTAATTTAGGAACCCAGGGAACACACATATAAAAACTGTTTTAATGTCTTGATTAGCTAATTCTAGCATCTGTGTCAGTTCCAACTGCTTGATCTTTCTCCTAAGTGCAGGCCTATTTCTGCTCCCCCTAGGGTATGGTGATTTTTATTTATTTATTTTTTACATTTTTTATCTCAATTTCTACTTTTACTTATTTTTTATTTTTTAAAATCTTTACAAATAATTCATTGTCAAGTTAGCTAACATACAGTGTATACAGTGTGCTCTTGGTTTTGGGGGTAGACTCCTGTGATTCATCACGGGGGGGGTGGCAGGGGAGAGAGGAAAATGGGTACTGAGCATTGAGGAGGGCCCTTATTAGGATGCGCACTAGGTATTGTACGTAAGGTATGGTGATCTTCTATCAAACATAAAACATTTTGACGTTTCCCCTTGTTGTGTTCTGGATATCTTCATATTCCCTACAGGTATGTTAAGGTCTGTTTTGGGGCACAATTACTTGGAGGCAATTTGATACACTTGAGTCTTGAAGTTCAGCTTTGTTAGGGGAGACACAGCAGCCTTTGGTCTAGGGCTAATTACTCCTTTACCAGGGTGGATCCTTCAAGTACTCCACGACCAACGGATTGTGGGTTTCCCAGTTGGGCTGCTCCGTGTGGACACATATTCCTGGCCCCAGGTGAGCCCCAAGGTCCTATTTCTTCCCATCCTCTCAGAGGGCTCTTTCCCTGTCCCCTGCTGGCTTTCTGACATATGCACTCTGCTCAGGTGGACCCTCTGCAGATCTCGAGGGTTCTTGTTCTGAGCAGTGATCATCCTTTTTCTACTTTGCCCCCCAATTCTAGCCACATTTACCTCCCTGGACAGCCAGCACCATCTCCCCAGTGCTGGGAGGTCTCTGGGCTCTGCCAGGGTAAGTACCCCCCCTTTTTAAAATTTTGACAGAAAGAGCAATTGGGGGAGGGGCAGAGAGAGAGGGAGAGGGAATCCCAAGCAGGCTCCGCAGTGTCAGCACAGACCCTGACGTGGTGCTCGAACTCACGAAATGTGGGATCATGACCTGAGCTGAAGTCGAGTCAGATGCTTAAGTTAGTGAGTCACCCAGGCTCCTCACGGGTCCCCCTTTCTACACTGTCATAGTTGGGGAAATTGTACACCTGCTGTATTTGTTCTGTGTCTCTTAGGAGCCACCTTTCTTCACTGCCTAAAGTTCGGAGTCCTGTAAGTTCGTGTTTCATGTTGTCTGTGATGGGCTGCTTCAGGTGGGAAGGTCTTGCTGGCCTCTATTACTCTATCTTAGCTGAAAGCTGGAAGATTTTTAACAATTTTTAAGATTTTGAAGAATTACAACTTTTGTCTATGCTTGGCTTATAAATGTGTATTTTCTGCCGTATTTCAAAACTCATAGTAAATGAGCTACTAACCAAGCAAACACATATGCTTTTACGTGTTCTCTTCAATGTTGTTCACTATTATTGTACTAAAAATAGATGGCGACATTGGGTTACTTGTTTGTTTTATTTACCTGATGACTTTTTAACTGAACTGACATTTTCTTTATTAAGGAAACAGTATCAATATGGTGCCTTTTCAAAAGGTCCACTCAATAAATGTTTACTTTGTCATGGTGTATATGAACCAAGGAAGTAATTAAGTGAATTTTCCCCTGTGCTTTGCGAAGGAGTACATAGTAAATGTCAAGGTCCTCAAGGAGCAAGGAAGTTTCCCTTTTTCATCTCCAATCCTCTGTTCTCAATAAACAATCTGTTCTCAATAAACATCTGTTAAATATATGTATCTGCACTGAGCTAAGGGCTTCTCGTGTATTGCCTTGTGTAAACATCATCACACCGCTATTTCCTAGGTTCTGTTTTTTTTTTTCCTCCTCATTTTACAAAAGTGTTAATTAAAGTGAAAGGCTTAGACTTGGCCAGGAAAGAAGTTCTTCTTTAAAAAGGAGCAAAGAGAATGAGATAAAGAATGGTGTTTAGGAGATCTGGACATAGAGAAGGGGTAATTAATTGAAGAAGCTAATTAATATTGGGTAGACTACCTCTTCCCCTTATTGTCAAGCAGTCTATTAACACAGTGGGCATGTGATGCCAATGTAAACTAGGAATTTCACTCATATTCACATTAGGACTCCTCATTTAAATAATTTTTATTTCTTTGAACTCCAGAGACCGGGTTCTGACATGTCCTCCTGCCTAGTGTTCATATTACAGTTGTTTCCTGTTTTACCCCAAACCAAGGGCCTCAAGTTCAAGTGGCCTAGCAGCATGTGTGGTATCATCTAGGACGCTGTCACAAAAATGAATGAGCTCCTAGTCCACTGGGGATACTTCAACTGCAGTGGAGGTGCAAACAGGACAGTCTCCAGTTCTAACTAGGTTTCATGCTT